CATTAAAAAAAAAAAAAATTTTTTTTTTTTTTTTTTTTTGGGTTTTCTTAAAAGTTAATTAACACTTATCTAGACCACGAATCAAACAGCTGTGATTTAAGGATGCACGATATATAAGAGAAATTTTTCTTTTGGGGTCTGAGAGCCTGTATAGAGAAATTTTACAATATTTATGTTCAGTCCCGACATAGAAATAAAAGTGTCTAATTTTAGGGACAATGGGATTTGGATCGGAATGGTTTTAGTTAGATTGAAGGCAGCTTTTGGAACCCCAAAAAAATATACCATGTTTTAATAGTTTTTTCAATTATGGGATTTAAATAAATAAAATAGTTAAAATATATAGTATCAGCTAAAAAATTTAAGGGAAAAATGTAAATAAAGGCCAATTGGTTTTTACTTTTCTAAAAGGGGGGGAAAAAGTACGCACGGGAGATACCCTGTTAAAAAATCGACATGAAAAGGGGGGGAAATGATCACAGAATAGGGGGATAGAATATTCCATGCTATGGCCAAAGATGCGGAAATTTTTTTTAAGAAAAGAGTCGTTTTGGGGTTTTGAGAAGGTAAACCTTTTAGTAGGGGAGATCATTAAAAATACAAAGAGGAGTCATCCAGAATTTTCTAAGAGAGAGAGCCCCCCAAATGGCATCAAATCCCACATCCCCAAAGATGAGTGTTGAGCATAAAGGGCCCGAAAGATTTTAATAAAAATTCGGGCTTTAAACTAGAGTGGGGGTGAGGATGTAGGCAGAAGAAAAAGAAATTTTAAAGAACCCTTACAGCATATCGTAAATTAATTTTCGGGGAATGGGGGTTTAATTTAAAGAAAGGAAAACGTTTTAAGAAAGGGGCGCTCCCTGCAACCATTGTTTCGAAGTCCGAAGACGGAGTCCCCGGAACCCGAAATTGGGACCCAGAACCAGCCATGTCTGCAAAAAGGCGTAACTGAGGAATAAAAGAATAATTTAATTGAGAAGACTTTGTTTCTTAGGACAAAGACGCCCGCATTTTTTGAACAATTTATCCAAATTGGAACCAAGGGAGAGCATATGTGTGAGTTTTGGGAAAAACGTAATATGGAAAAAAAAAAATAACACTGGGAGAAAAACAAAGTTGACATAGCATGAATTTTAGCGATTTCTTCGCAAAAACAGAATGATAGAATTATGGAAAATGTTCATGTTTTTCCATGATTTTATCATTCTCTGACAAAAAACATTCTTTAATTTGGCCGACAGTGCGTTGCGTGTCCGTTGTACTGTTTCAAGACCAACGCTTGCATTATATTTTTGTGCAAGGCATATAGGACGGTTAGCATGACGCTTTGTCTGGTTGGCAGGTGGCTTCCCGGGCGATCTCGCGTGCAGAGACGTGCCCAGCCAACAAAACAGGAAGGGAATTTTCGAGATCGCGTAAATTACAAGATCGCTTTAACAGCACTCCAATGCTTTTTGACCTTATAGACGAATGGCAAATTTTTCTAAGACGAATTACCTAAGGGAGCCCTTTACCAGTTCTTTTTTCTGTTCGCGAACGTTTGCGAGGACATGGCTTGCGGTAGGTAAATTTAAAAACAAACGTATTCATTTAAATAGTCGAGTACCATTGGGTCAATGTCAAAACATAATTGTAATGTGAACAATTCTATACATCCCCCGGGAATGAGTCTTTTTGGGAAAATTAACGTAATATAATGTGAATAGCGTGCAGGTGAACTGGGGCGGGGAATATAGGGGTCTTTGCAACAAGGTTTAAGCGATTCTGGCAGAAAAAAAAAAAGGGTATGTATTTATTCATTTTTCGCCCGCTTGGTAAGGAGGGAAATGGATTTTCTTTTTTCCAAAAACCCCCAATTTTTTTGATTAATTTCGTTATGGGTTCAAAGGGGCAGTTTTGTTTTTTTTGGGACTTCTCGAGTGTCATAATCGGTGTGTTGGGGGGTCATGCTGCTCCAGAGTTGTAAAAAATTAATCTAAAATCTTTAGCTGATGTCCTGTGAAAATTGCAGCATTTTTTCAAAAATATTTTTTTAAAAATAAGGGACAGTTTTACAAAAAAATTAGTTCCCAAAAAAATTCTAGGGTGGTGTACGGGAAATTTTAGCCTAAAGTGACATTGGGAGTTACTTCATGTTACAATTATTTATAGAAGCGTTTTAAAAATCTTGCAATCGACTCACAAAATGTGTTATAAGGAAAAAACAATATTGAAAGAATTTAAATCTATAATTTAATTAACAGAATCTGAATAAAAACAACAGTGCACACAATTTGATGTTAGAAAATTTTGTTTTTTTTACATAGTAGCTATTTGTTTGACATTGGTAGTTGCTTTAAATTTGTAGGCTGTCAACATTGCGTGTCTATCTCTTTCTCTCCGTACAGTTCTCAAAGGGAGCTGGGCCTTAAGAATTTTTGTTTAATTTTTATATATTTAGGCGTTTTATTTAACAAATACTGAGTGATTCTATTTCTACAATAATCCTTTGATACACGCACGTTAATAACTATTCCATAACGTAATGATTACTTAGATATTTTCGCGGTGACAAATATGTTCCCATCTATGTCCAACGTTGTTTTGGTTATGAAAGTGTTACAAACTTGTATACTCAAAAATATTCTTCCTATAAATGTGTATCTAACGAGGATGTGCACTTGTGGCTAAAACTTTTAGTGAAAAAATTTTTTAAACTTGGTTAGAGATTGTGAAGTTAAGATTCCTAACCTATAAGTTTGGAATGGTGGAGTAATTCACGGTTTGTACGTTGCAGAGAGTACTAAAAAACATCAAAGCCAGCGCCGCTGAGCCCGACTCCTTCGAGACCTCGATCTCGCAGGCTTTGGTTGAGTTGGAGACCAACTTGACTTGAAGGCGCAGCTCAGGGAGCTTTACATTACCAAGGCTAAGGAAATCGAACTTCACAACAAGAAGGTAATGAAAGCTTAATTTTTATTAATAGGGATAAAAACTACCGATTTATATATCAAAGTAAATAGTGTCAAATCGATGCATATTCATATCAGATGAATTGATTGTTATTCTTTAGTAGACACCAAATTATTCGAAAATCTGTAACAATGGACCTTAATTTTTTGATGATTTAGAGAGAACCCTTACTCTATAGAAATGAACTTCACAATCTCAACATGGCAGTGTGATCTCAAACTTATCCAACATTAAGCAAAGCACATACCTACCCCTAAACATGTGAGGTGAAACAAGCATGATTTTAAAGTTTGCTTACAACCAATTAAAATTGATATCCTGTATTTTATACTTATTTTCATTTAAAATATTTGCTGGTGTTAGTCTGGTATTAATGTTGATTATTTTGTCAAATGCTTTCAAAACAATACAAACAATAAACTACTCACACTATACTGTCTACATTGAAATAAAACTGATGCCACTGCCATATTACTTTTAATTTTTTTATCAGTAAAAAAACTTGAGTATGTTTTATTTAATCAATCAAATTGTGCTATTAATACTTGATTTATTACAATGTCAACACGTAAATATGGAAAAAACTGTTTGCTTCATATAAATGACTTGATTCATGTCTAATGTTAGTCTAACCCTAAACTTTTTTCTTTTTTATAAGGTTAACATGGCAAGTACAAATCTATCCAAAAATTATGAACATCGTAACTTTTTAAATTTAAACATAAGAGTCAATAGAAAAAAATTTTAGGAGCACTTGTTAGTGAAAATAGTTTTGAATGTTCAATGATTCAAAAAAAACCATTCCAATTTTTATTTTTAGTCTATCATCAAACTATGTGCCCATGCCCAAGCTGAAGGCATTCCAGAAGATCCAAATCAGGCTGGTCCGTGAGCTTGAGAAGAAATTCAGTGGCAAAAATGTAGTTATTGTTGGAGACCGCAAGATTCTCCCCCAAAACCCCGCCACAAGGACACGTGTAGCCAACAAACAGAAGAGGCCCAGATCTAGGTAAGAATTCACAGCACAAAATTCCTATTTGCCACAACTGTAGTGTAACGTGCTTTAAGCCTCGCACATGAAAAACGCAGGGTGGCTCACGCTTTTCTGGAAAAGCATATCACCTGTGCGAAAGTGCCCCCAACATGCAACACAAACACCCTGGACTGAGAAACACATTCATCCATCACAATTTACAAAAAACAGCAGACAAGACCCTCATTGTATTTTACAATAGGATAAAATAGATCTAAGTCCTTGTGTATGAAGTATGGTGCTAACTGTATCCCCTACTTCTTCCAACTGGACTTCAATTAGGTATTATAATGTACGGTGGTGACGGATTAAGAATAAGAGTGTCCACCACACTATTTATTTAGGTGGGTGTTGTAAGGGCTGACGTATAAGGGAGCAAACTCTACAAGACAAACAGCACCGCAAAGAGAAACGAAAACTTGACACAAACTCTATACCAACCTGTCTGGCCAGTGTGGTATAGTAGGCCAAAACCTAACCTTTCTAAGGAAGGCTTTCTTGTCCAGCAGTGGACTATTAAAGGCTGCTGATGATAATATATACTCCCATGCATTATGATCATTTAATAAAAATGAATTAACACACTTTTCAAACACTCAAAAGAGTTTCTACATAAAAAATAAATTAAATTTACTTCCTAACTTTATATTATAGCTTCCTAACTTTATATTTATGTTTCATAGAAGAGTTTAAAAATTGCCTTTGCCTTTTTATAATAATAACCTGTTGCAAAAACATTTGCAACAAAGCTGAATTGCATTCTGTCAGTCACATCCATTGTTTACTAAAATAAATATATAAAAACCAGATCTTGTAACTTGTTGTCCTCAAATAAAGCAATAAAAGTAGGATACTGAAGGCTAGAAGCTAAAATAAATGAAGAAAAGAAAAACAAATAAGACAGACTGTCCAAAACATATTGGCTTACATTATATCTTAAGGCTTTTAAGCAATATGTTTATCTAAAAGGAGTTATGACTGTCCTGTCACACAAAAGTTGGTGGATGGGTGTATGTGTGAATATAAAGTATTTGGCACAAAAAATTTAGTAGTCTGGGATCGCACATAGGCATCTTTTCATCAAGATAACATAGATTTACAAAATACCCATGAACGTGAGGCGAAGGCACAGGGTAAAGCACACATATGGCGTAGTGGTTTAAGCGGCCGCTTTCCAAAAAGAAAAATAAATATATAATTTTATCAGATTTAGTTTCCTTGTAAATATGGATTCGATTATAAAAACGATAACAATGACTCTTAAGTGACTTGTTAACGTTTGCCAAAAGTGATATTATACAGCTTATATATTTGCTATACATATTATAATTCTCTTTTGCAGGACATTGACGTCAGTATACGACGCCATCCTTGAGGACTTGGGGTTCCCTGCTGAAATTGTAGGCAAGCGTATTAGGATCAAGCTGGATGGCTCACAGATCATCAAGGTGCACTTAGACAAGAACCAGCAAACCACTATTGAACACAAGGTAAGCATTTTTTTACACCTGGTACAATTTAATTTATTGAATTCTAAATTTATGGAACCAAAACAAATAGCCTATTCCTTTAACTGTTGCATAAATTTGCAGTCCTGGTATATTTTTAGAATATTGTCTTTTATTTAAAAACTAGGTGTTGCCCGCGATTACTTTCGCGTAGAAATTTAAAAAGCGTTGGCATAGTGGGGTTCGATTCCCAGACGGGGCAAAACTTTATAGCCTAAGTTACTCCTTATATAGACAGGTCCTGGTACTAAAATATTATCAAAATCGGTCCAGCCGTTTTGAAGATTACCTGGAACAAACTGACAGACCAAAAAAAGATATTAAATTGGGTTTTAGGCATAGGTATTGTGTAAATAACCATGGCAGCACGAAAAAAATCTTTTATTTCACAAATCTGTTCTGTTATTATCTCATTACAAACAGAATTTATCATCGATCATAAAAATCAAATATCCTAGTAAAATTTCCATATATTTAAAAAAATGAGGTCTTAAAGTAACAATACGAAATCATATTAATTGATGTTGGCATTTAAAATGGTATTTTTTAAAAGGGTTTTGTTGTTGGGGGTTTTTTTTAAAAACGCCGTGCAAAATATAAACAACAAAATTAGTTAATTGTTTACATTTTTGTTACTCGGGGTCAAAATACAACATGAAACAGAAGGTTAAGAGGGAGAATTAGAATTTTTTTGTGTGTGCGTTACCCCCAAAAAAATTCGAAAAAGGTCTTTTAAACTTTATAGATAATTATTTGCTTCCTTCTGTAATTTAGGACATTTTAAATTTGTTTCTTTTTAAAACTTTTTTAGCTTTTTAAAAAAAAACTTTTCCGCTGGGGAACGTTTGAAACGTTACCGCACCCAGAATTTTTTTTTTTAATTTGTAATTTGAAAAAAATTTTGTAGAAATTAGTTATCGGGAAGGGTAAAGTAAAACTTTTTTGGTATTTTATTTTTTCGGCTGCAAGTTTTTCGAAATCCTGTGGGTAAGTTTGTGGGTTTGCTGGACTCTGAAACGGGTAAGCGGTTTAAAACCATTTTTTGTACAAATTTAAGGATTGTTTAAATTTGTTCGACAAAAAATACAAAAATAAGGGACGTTTAAAAATTTTTAGGTAAGTAGGGAAAAAACCAATACGTCCAACATTTTAAAAAATAAGACCTCTAAAGACTTACTTCAAAACTTTATTTATTGCTTGAATCCCTTCAAAGTATACGAATTTTTCGTAAAATTATAAGTGACTAAAAAGTTTGATAAAATGTAGCTCTCCAGTCACGTCACATGTGTCGGCCTTTTTTGGCCACCGAAAAACTTGGGGTGTGGATAATAAATGAAGTTATCCCAATAATTGTTGTTAAGTTCAGTTGTTAAACCTGTAAAATTTTCAGCGCGTACATAAAATAATTACAAGATAATTAAAAAAAGTATTAGGGGGGCAAGTCCGTGGTAACCGACCATTTTAGGTGGTTAAAAAAAAAAGCGATCCCCCAGTACATTGGGCTGTTTTTTTAAAATTTTGGTAATAACCTTTACGTTTTCGGTACAGTTGCGTACAGTTTTAAATACTTTCACGAAATTTTTTCATTATTATTCCCTTTTATTTATTTTTTTTTTTCCCCAAATTTGATTTTAAGCACAGTTTCTTTTTAAAATTTTCTTTAGTTTTTTTTATCCCGGACTACAATAAACAAAAAATCTGCACGGCCCGCAAAATTAAAAATTGTAGAACTTTGAACGATCACCGGACGCAATAAATCGAAAATTTAAACCAATAGAAATTTTTCTTTTTTTTGTTTTTTTTTTTGAAAAGAAATAACACTAAGTAATTGTTTTTTATTTTGGGGTGTTAAGTTTAGATTTAAATGCATAAAATATTAAAAGTCATCAACAAAAAAGTTAAAATAGACCGAATAGTAGAAGAAACAGTTGTAAATTTAGAATGCATCAAAATTGCATCCCCCAACAGTGTATACCTGTAAGATAGGTAATATTTCTGGGGTCTTCCCGAAAACCCGAGAATTTCTATACCTATGTACCTACCCGGCTGTTGATTTCTGTTTTAAAAAAGAAAAATTTTTTGAAGATATTTTTATATAATAACGGTAATTTAAATTTTTCGAGTGAAAGTAAAATTTTTATGATAAAATTTTTGGTCAGAAATATTTGTCAATCAAGAACGCCGATAATGATCCTTGCTAGAAAACCCGGAGGGGGGGGCGAAGGGAAATCTTTTGCAATTTGCATCAGGCACTAAACTTGACCTTAGGGAGATAAATACGCTTGTAAAGTGCGTGTGCGCTTCCGCTTTCGCTTTCGCTATATTGCAATAAAAAAGTTTGTTCCGTATGCTAGCCCAAGTCAATTTATCACTTAAAAAAAACCCCCTCTATTTACAAAATACTATTTTCACCCCATACGTTCACCTTCAAAACTTAAATTACCATACCTACCCCAAAATTAAACTTCAATTAACAAAAACTACCATACCAATTCTAGAAAAACTATAAACAATTCACCTAAAATAGAGAAAACAAAAACATTCAAAACAAATACCTAATCTCCCGGTGATTACTAATTAAGCAAAAAAAATCTAAATAAAAATTTAAAAAACATTAGTTTTTGTCCCCTTATGTACATACGTAGTAAACTTGCCAAAAAAATATCACATATTTTAAAGCCAGCACAATGGATGGGGATCGTTTTTTTTAACCCCTAAACATGGGCGGGTTACCAGTCTTGCACCTTCTAAGACTTTATTTAATATCTGTAAATTTTATTGTACTACGCGAAATTTTTCAGGAGAAAACTGAACTAAAAAAAATAATTTTGGCATAACATTCAGTTAATAACCCACACAGGTTACGGTGGCCAAAAAAAACCCCACATTGTGATCGTGAACGGGGGGAGCTAATTTCACATAACTTTTTTTCACTTTTAGTATTTTTTTTACGAAATTCGAAAATTTTAAGGGAGTTACAAGCAATGAATAACGTTTGAAGTAAGTCTTAGAACTTTTTAAAAAGGTTTGGGGTATTTTAAGGTTTTCTACTTACTAAATAATTTAAACGGTCCCTTATTTTTTTTATTTTTGTCGAAAAATTTAAATAATCCTTAGAAGTTATGTACAAAAGATGGTTTTACAATCCGTTACCCCTTTCAGAGATCCAGCAAAAACCCCAAAAAAGTTTCCAGAGGATTTCGAAAACTTCGCAGCCCCAAAAAAATACAAGTACCAAAAAAATTGTAACATTTTTCCTAGTCCCGAAACTAATTATCTAGCTAAAATTTATTTTTAAATTTAAAAAAAAAAAAGAAAATGTCGGGGTGCGGAACGTTTCAAACGTTACCCCCGCGGAAATTTTTTTTGAAATAACTAAAAAAAAATTTTAAAAAAACAAATTTTAAAAAAGTGCCTAAAAATTACAGAAGGGGGGGCAATAATTTTCTATAAAAGTTTTAAATGACATTTTCGACATTATTTGCGGGGTAACGCACACGTTTTTTGTATAATCCATTAATAGGTGAAGCTCGATCAAAAGTAAAATGAATTTATAATAGATGTTGCAAATTGGTAACTCTTATTGTTGTCTCTATTACAGGTGGACACCTTCCAGTCGGTGTACAAGAAGCTTACGGGGCGCGAAGTCACTTTTGAGTTCCCCGAACCCTACTTGTAAACTTAGGACTATGATTTTTACAATAAACCAAAAAAAAATATTGCCGCTTTCATTGTTATTTAAAGCATATGATGCAACGTGTCGCTCTTGAACCTAAATTGACATTGCTGATAATTGGAACTAAATACTGATGGTTACAATTTGTAGTAAAATATAAAAATAATGGAAATCAACTTTGGTGATTGGTGAATGTAAATGGAGGAAAAAAGAATTCGAGTATGTTTAATACGACACAGTCCGTAACTGCCCCCAAGGCTCCCCGGGAGGGGCTGCCGGCCAACTCAGGCCTAAAAAATTCCGCTCTTACCATTTGAATCCGCTGACTTGATCCTACAGGGGTTTGTACAACACTCACTATTCCACTTCGATCCTCCAGGGGACACAACACTCGACATTCCACTCTATCCCCTTTTTGTCTGTGCGTATACCACCTAACGTTGTGTTAGGTGTACCCTAGGGTGGAAAACTAGTACCCCGGGATATCTAAGGCTTGAGATGATCTCCTCGGGTGGGAACCACGGTGTCTCCATGTGGGGATCGAACCAAAACACTCAGCGCGGTAGGAAGCGGCGAGATGACCGCTTAATCCACTACGCTATCCAGTCTGTTTATAGCTCTGTAATACAAACATTGGACAACTTGGTGGACGGTGGTGTTTTTCAAAACGCGAGTGACTTTTTATTGACATACTTAAATAACTAAAACAGATGAAAGTTTGCATGTCGGTTGCCACGAGCTTCTACAATTGAATCGGTTATTTCAAAAACCTCGTCATATTTTTTTAAACATTTTTTTTGCTGATAATGATTTCTTAAAGGTAGGTGCGCATTCTGGTATAAACCACGTGTTATACTTTCCTTCCTTTTTAAAATAATACTTTGTAAAAGATGTTCATTGCATAAACAACATTAGTTACGACTAAAGCTGTCAATAGGTAATAAGCAAAAAAAAATTTTGATTATAATTATTAAAAAATATGATTATTATTCTTTTTATTAAATTATATATACATATTAATTACATTTTTAAATATATTACAAAAGAAATAAAAATACTTTTAAAAATATAAAAAATAGTAGACCTCGACATCGGGTACAGGTACCAAGACACCAGTGGTTAGGACTGCAAAGATAGGAACCTCCTCACTATACGAGCCGTGTCAAGGAGGACTGCTTCTGTATCAGACCCTTGATCCAGCCGTCCAAACTTTGAGCCTCTTAAGGTGTTGGTCGAGGCTCTTGGCTATCAATCCGTGAGCAGATACGACTATCGGAACAATTATCACTGAATCGACTTTCCCACATATCGACAATCTCGTGAAAATAATCCAAATATTTTATTGTTTTTTTTTTTTCAACTTTCACGAGATTCTCGTCATGAGAACGGCGATATCAAACAATAATTGCGCGGCGCTCTAATCGATCTACACTAAATATCAGGCTTATTACAACAATAGTCCTGTCTGTGATAATAGATCGATCCCAAACAACGTGGCCCGACCATTCTCGAGAATGGGTCGGGCACAATAACCTGTAGTATGGCACTCTAGATTCACAAGATGGTATTTAAGGGCAAGCTGTTGGTGTCCCAATCCTGGCTACTTGGTTGTGCCTATGCAAATATTCACCGTTTAGCAAGACGAGAACAACCAGAAATGATATCCTGTTTGATTCCCCAGGCGGTGACAGCCCGACAGATGTCAACCGTACCATCTTTCAGGTTTATTTTTCCGATAGTTATTCGTCATGATAACTTGTCCATAATCGCACAAACAAACTTCATTTTCTCCGAAGAGATCCCCATACCGTAGCCAAGTCGTAGATGCTTTAAAGCTATATCGGACCTGTTTAGGGCCCGATAAAACCGGCCATGGAGCTCTTTGCCCTTCCATACTTCCCTACGATATAGTACTAAATACTACAGGTTTGCCCCAAATTTCTCTTTAGCCAGAGCGAGCGGGGTGAATCCGATATCCACTGCAACTACATTGCGATGCATTCCCACATCGGTATGTAGAAAATATTCTCTGAAAATTGCATATCTCCCGATTGTGTAGGGTCTTGATATTTAATAATCCACGACCCCCTAGCTTTCGCGGGATATACAATTCATAACCGATGAACGTGGGTGGTGCATTCGAAATGCAGTCAGCAATGTACGGGACTCTTATCAAGGGCATCTAGTTCGGTCTGAGTCCATTTAAGTTTACCAAAGGAGTAATCACAATGGGCATGACCCAACCATTGCAGGCTCGCACCTTGTTGCCCCTCGATAAAAGACTTTTAAGTACTTTTTTCAAACGGACAAAAAAGCGTTCCTGCAACGTTTGTTTCATGTCAGATTCTGGTATGCCAAACGACTGTGATATACCCAATACTTTTTAAGTCTCAGTGGCAGACAAAGATCTGATTTTTGTTGAATCGGAAAGCTCTATTCCTTCAGATTCTACTATCTCACCCTTCTTTACATACATGACTGCACATTTGTCTACACCAAATTCCATTTTGATAGAATTACTAAAGTTTTCCGTCACCTTCAGTAACGCTGACAATTGTAATTTGGTGGCGGCCAAGTAGTTTAAAATCATCCATATAAAGAAGGTGGATATAACTTGATCGTCTTTCTGCAACCTATACCCTAGCCCTGAACCCTCTAATAAAGTGCTAAGAGGGTTCAAAGCCAGCAAAACCACAAGGGACTCAGACTATCACCTTGAATATACCCCGCTCGATCTTTATGGTGCATCAATTACCGTCGTCTGCCGACATCCTGGAAACGAAGCACTGTTCCCATTGCCCCATACATGACTTAAAGAAAGTGCACAGAGTTGTATCAATTTTATAACAACTCCAGCACCCTCAAAAGCCATGTATTGGAACCGAGTCATAACCCTTCTTATAGTCTATCCAACATGTCGCCAAACTCTTACGATTACGACGCACCTGTTGGCTAAGGGCCCCGTCTATAATAAGGAGGTCTTTAGTGCCACGGCTCCCACTTTACATCTATTCTGAGAAACTGACATAATCAAATTTATTATTAATGTGAAAAGTAATTTTGAGTCTCAGAATAGATGTAAGAATTTGTACCAGGGTTGGTAAACAGAATAGGTCTAAAAATTTTGGGATCCATGACACTACCAGACTTATAGAGTAAGTGGGTTATACAGTGGTTAAAATTGGGGTAATGAACCCGAATTTAAAGCTTTCCTGGAATTGAGATGCCAAACACGCATGTGAGCTTCGGAACCCCTTAAGCCCCAAAAAATTTTGCAGTCCGTCTAAACCAGGTGATTTCAATTCGGTAATGAACGAACTGCACAGCTTACATCTCTTTACAATTATAACTGGTTCCATAGGTGTTATAGACTCACATGAGCGTCTGACATCCCACAACCAATCACCTTCTATATGAGTGACAGGCACCGACCAGATGTTCCGCCAAAAAGTATGTGTGACATTTTCATTGGCAAATGCCCATGACTCACACATGGATTCGGTTCCTCCCATTTCCGGTACACCCACTTCTCATTTCTTGGAAAAATTTCCCATTCTGATTATACCGATCTATTCGTTTTTTGTACCGTCTTATCCCATTTGCATGCATTTAAAATTTTCTGCTTTAGAAAGTCTATGCGCTCTGTGACACATGAATGTACTGTTGGGGGACAATGGTAGTCCCCAAGAATGCCTGTTTCACAAAGCGCATCACTTCGCGCGTATTCCCTGATCGAAAACTAATTAGCTTACCAATAAGCACCCTGGTCTCAGCAATACGACGTTCAATTCTACACTGCCAAGCTGGTACAGTTGATTTAGGTCGAGTAGTAGTGACATTTCAACTATATTAACACCAGCTACTCGACAAACTGCAACAGCCGCACAATACAGAATAGAATGTGTATCACCAAGATCTTCGCCTATTGTCTAAATAATCAGGCAAAACGAATCCAGGGCACCCACAAGCGCTAAATTTCGTTTATGAATGGGCAAACGGGACAATCGGGGTTATTATTCCAATTCACATACCTGTACTCTAGAATTTGCATCCTCCAAAGCGCTCCTTATCCTGTCATTGTATTGGTACTTACAGATATAACTTCACCCTCCACTAATTCTCACCATCATTGGTATGTGATACTAACTGAGGTGTGCTATTTAGCTACCAAATCCACAGTGTGTAACGAAGAAGGGATAATCAAGCTATTTTCCGTATGTCAGAGCGTATCCTCTCAAGTACTTTCATCATCCCGCAGATGACAGCGCTGTATAGCTCGTACTTGATCCCGACAATCGTTGTGCTGATACGTTGACAGCAGGTTCAAATCAATTTTTCAAATTTTTCAAATCGACCAGTAGTTCCTGAGATTAGCGCGTTCAAACAAACAAACTCTTCAGCTTTATAATTTATATAGATAAGCTTTGAAGGCTTTTCGATTTTTTTTTATTACTCCAATACTAAATTAGGCATAAAAAATACCTTAAAAAATCGTTTTGCATGAAACAGTTTTTATTGATTCCTGAAAAACTGATTTTGGACTTATGAGATTTATGAAATTACCGTTTCAATTCTCTAGTGATCAGAAGGCCAATTTCGTAATAAACTTAGATCTCACAACCGTCACAAAAGGTGTTTTTGTAAAAATAGTAAAATATTATTAAGACTAGCAGATTTCCGATTTAATTTTTGTTAACAATACGAAAATAATATATTACAGTCAACGTTGAATGTTTAATACTTTACTACAAAAATACCAAGTTGATCGGAACTAAATTGAGACCGAAGACGATTTTATTACGAGTATTTGCCTTTGAATATAAGGAATGATTCCGGCGTTGCTTCGAACACCAGACATTTTTTTAATTTCATATTATCTATTGTTATGGGGATTTTAAAATAAAAAGCATAGTTGTAATTACGATTTATTATTAATCAGCCATCCCACAATAAAATAACATGAATATTACAGTTTAGTCTCCAAAGTGGGAGAGAGCTCAATT